CACGCATACATACACGCATACATACAGACACACATACTCCCATGTATTGTTACATACATACAGACTCACAGACATACAGCAATAGACAGGCAGGCAGGCAGACAGACAGACATCCAAACACAAATCCATAACGATGCACTCAAGCCTTGTAAGCTCAACAGATCCCGAAAGCCGCAAGCTCAATCCTTTTGAACCCGGAATGCAAATTCGAGCACAAGGGATCCTTGCCCAAGGCGTCAGCAGGGCTTCAAAAAATTTCTGAATGAACGTCCGAAAAATAGTGCGAAACATTGGGTGAAATACTACGAGGCAGGCCAGGAGCGTGAACAGGGCTGTCCAAATTAGTGTATATGGAATAAGTGCAGCGATGCCCCCCGACGAACTCCAGCCGTCGCTGCTGGTTTGGGTGTATAATTGCATGGCAAGTAGCCACGCTGTAGAGTAACACACCCAGATCCTTCCCCAGATGCCCCAGATGGCCGAAAAACACCCCGCGCACGGGTCGTCAGGCTCAAGATCCCTTAGTTGCTTGCGTCGTCGTGCCTCTGCATATAATACTGGCACGGCTGGTACCATCAGCAGAATGCTTGGGACTGTAAGCCACACGTCTAGAAGCTCGGCATCTCCAGGCGGCGGTGCTTCTGGCTTTCTGTCGAAAAAGTGAATGAAGGCCCATACTGTCAAAAAGAAATGGCAGAAAAAGGCGGCGGCATAAAGGAAAAGGAATGCCAAAGCAAGGAGTTCTTCCCACGGGCACAGCGGCGGCCCAATAATATGGAGACGGACCTTCTGGTTGTGGTCGGAAAAGTAGGGATCCCTTTTCGGCTTTAGATGGGGATGATCGTATGCCTAGCGTGGTTGTTTAATTAACAGAAACAAAGGGTATATGTACACTGTAATTACATACTATGTGTGTACATTATGTACTATCATACACACACACACAAAGGTATCGATACACTTTTTAGATAAGAGCATAATTTGCTCGAAAACCTGCCTTGCCATCAGTCCTCAAGACCTCGTCCCGCGCTCTCTGCAAGATGCGCACCGCCTTGTTCCCGAAGCGGTTGTCATCGAGCCTCAGCAGCTGCAAGGCAGAGTTCTTGAAGAGGCCTGCGAAGCTGGCTGCCCCGTCATCTGCAATCATGTTGGAGCGCAGGTCCAGCTTTTGCAAGACGGAGTTGTGGATCAAGGCATCGGCGAGGTGCTTGGCCCCTTTGCACTTCAGGACGTTGTGAGACAGATCCAGGGATTCCAATCTGGTCTCCTCGCATGCGATCGCTTCTGCCAGACTCTCTGCACCTTTCGCATCCACCAGGCACCAAGTGAATGTCACCTTCAACAGCGCACTGTTGCCCTTGAAGCCCAGAGCCAATTTGCGCACGGCGTCCCCAGGGATGCGAAGGTTGTTGAGATGTAGCTCTCGCATCGTCAGCACGGTAGATAAGGCCTCCGCACCTTGACAGTCAACCTGGCTGTTGCTTATTTGCAGGACTGTAGGTTCTTGTAAAACGACAGAGCACCAGAGAGGATCGTAAGTTCGCGACGGGGTAGAACGGATATCTCCAGCGTCTCGCACTCTTCCGCCTTCTCCCTGAACACACGTTCCTGCAGCTCCTTCACGGCCTCGGCACTATCTTGGTGCGTGAACAAAAGCTCAAAGTTGGCTACTTTTGCTTGGAAGACCGCAGGCGCCATGGGAGCTCTGGTCCAGGTCCCCGGAGACACGAAGGAGAGCGAGACAGTCTGTCGAGATTTGCTTCGCATGCTCGACCACTGGCACTCAGCTTCACACCAACCCCGCCGAGAATAGGGTGTGGCGTTCGCAATGAGATCTGCCAAAGGCCGAACCTCCACCTTTCCGTCTTGAGGGACTCCCGTCTCTGTGAAGAACACTTGAACATGCTTCTGAAAATCAGCTTCTTCAAACGGGGCCAAGTCTTCGATGCGGTAGGTCCATGTGTACTCATGTGCGTAAAAGAAGTGCATGTGCATCATCGTGTATTGAAAACTTCTGTTCTGATGGACAGTTGTGCGGTAGAACTGATAAACCGACATGTAGTCCAAGAAATACCAGGAGGACTCGTCATGCCACAGCTGGGCCCCGGCGATCATCGCCAGTTGATTCCCCCTGGGATCAGGATGCTCCCTGGTTTCCCACACGTGAGAGACGCCGATAATCCGAACCTCGCTGCGATATGCTTCGTCTGTCTTCCATTTCAGTAACTCCTCGCGTGTGACGAAAGCATCCGGGTACTTCGAAGAGTCTTCCAACTCCTGGCGACGGATGAAAGTTTGCTTCTCCCCGTCAAGACGTGTCAGGAAATCTCCCCGCACCAGGCGGATGTCCACCCTCTCATCCAGGAGGAGGTCGGCCCCTCAGGATCCTTCAGGTTTGTATAAAGCAGTCGGTTTAGGGTTTAGGGTTTAGGGTTTAGGGTTTAGGGTTTAGGGTTTAGTACTGGTTCCACGGAATCAGTCACGCCTCCGCCTATGTGCATCGCGACACCCACCTCTTCATCGACATCCGGCTGATGAGGCTGCTGCAACACCGCTACACTCTGTTTCAAAGTGTTCTGGCCCGACATGATCGCGCGGCTTCCCTAGAGGATGCGCGGAAAGCAACTCGGGCCTGAAGGTACAGTCACGCATTCAACTGACATGTGGTTGCTGGTATATGCTGAGGAGGCTGCTTAAAAACATCCCAGCTACAGATGCGGCCGGGTGTGGAGCATCTGGTTGAGGTTGCTCGCGACTATCAGCAGTTCTGCAGTCTGATCTCGCTTCGCTTGGGCGCTAATGAGCAAGGCAACGTCTTTCCTGAAACTACGAGAGAGCGGGGATATTCAATCGATGATACCGTGCTGGGTGTCAGGTTAGCAAACCCCCTAAACCCTAAACCCCAAGCGAGTCTTTTTGACTTAGTACGGTTCTCGGGTTTATGCTGAAAAAGTACCAAAACAGAAGTAAGTTCTGGTAGGTGCAGGCCGTTCTTGCAAATGTCCTCGCTCAAAATCCTACGGCATCTCAAGCACAAAAGGGAACTTAATAAATTCGAACAGGGGTTGTGGAGTCTTTTGGGTGGTGTATTATTATTATACGGTACCTCTCATAAGGAACACCCAAAATAGTACTGGTAGTTCGTTGGGCTCCTATATTATATGGACCACAAAACCATGGAAAATTGAAGTCAGATCGGAGTTGTAGGCAAGCACCCAAGGCCCGCGCGTAGGTCAGCGACCAGGACACATAAAACGCTGCGGGGTGCATTATCTTATACTCCTACTTCTAGTGATACTTAGAGCCACACTTGTAACAAACATCCAACAAGTACCGATATCGGGACCCTTCGCCTTCCGAAACTTCTAAGGGAGAAGGCTTCGACCAAAGGGCCTCACTTGGGTTCTCTGGGAGCTCATAAGACCAATGAAGGAGCTCAGAGTCTGCAAAAGAATTTCTGGGTTTATGTTTAGGGTTCAGGGTTTAGGGTTTAGGGTTTAGGGTTCAGGGTTTAGGGTTTAGGGTTTAGGGTTTAGGGTTTAGGGTTCAGGGTTGGGGCCCTGGGTTTAGGGTTTAGCGAGGGATAAGGGCCGGAGTTTGTCTTGCACTTTAGCAGCACGACGGAGACGGTACGATTCTGACACCTTTTTTGGGCATAAACCGAACCCCCAGTCGTCCCTAAACTGCAAACCCTGAATCCAAAACCGCCAACATTCCCCAACCCCTAAACCTCAAACCCTCGACATACAGCGGACGGCTGTCCGAGCTCATACCCTCTGAAGTGTGGGCCTTTTTGGCGGGCGGCGCTGTTACCTGTTCAGGGTTTAGCGTCTTGAGGGTTACAGGGCTCGTAGCCTCTTTCCCGTCGCCAGAAAAACTCCCAACACTTCGAGATAGGAGGCTTCAGGGTTTAAGGCCTACCTTAAGAACCCAAACCCACTTTTTTGTAGGTTCTTATTATAAACCCTAATATGGGATTTATAGGGACCCTACAAAAAAGGTAGGTTTTGGGTTCTTAAGGTAGGGTGCAAGTCGATGAACTCATGGCTCGCCCTTGGCGAGCCTGACCATAAAGAGGGGAGAAGGCATGAAGCGAGATTCGCGTAGCAGAGTCTACAACAGGATGGACGGCATGTGCGGCTTGGCCTTAAGGGAGGGGGGGAGGAGTTGGGGCCGAGACTAGAGATAGCTTGATTGAACTTGCTGCTCATAGAGTTTCCTGAAAGTTCGGGAAAATAGCTAACTACGTTCACTCTCTCGCCCTCGCTCTCTACATCAATATATATATATATATATATGTATGCATGCATGGATGCATGGATGCATGGATGCATGGATGCATGGATGCATGCATGTACATATGTATGTATATATGTATGTATGTATGTATGTATGTATGTATGTATGTATGTATGTAGGTAGGTATGTAGGTAGGTAGGTAGGTAGGTAGGTAGGTAGGTAGGTAGGTATGTATGTATGCATGCATGCTTTCCTTGGGGAATAGGATCCTGAAGCCTCATGCTTGGTTGAGCATCTAAGCTTCGGGGCCTTGTCATTCACTAGATTCAGGGGCTGATCTTAGCTAGGATTCCTTCCGATCATTTGCACCGAATTCCAATCATTTGCACCAAAGCTTTGCTGAAACCCTCGCACTCTGGCGGTTCCTGCTGCCACGAAGCCAAACCCCGATGCAAGCTTAGAAGTCGCAACGCCCCCAAGTCACAAATTTCGGACGCATTCTCAGGTGCCAACCGGCTCGAACCCGGGTGGCCTGGGTGGACGGAGGAAAAAACCATGATGCAGATCTGTTGAGTAGGGCACTGGCTGATAAAGTCCGGTCTCCCCAGACCATTGCAGGAGGCTCCACACTTCAAACTCCTAGTCATGAAGGAAGGCGGGAGATTGATCATCCATAGCCCCAAACAAATACGGTTCACGATTTTCAACACATGATTTGCCAGTGATCGTCGTAACAAGAAGCTGATGGTCGATCATCAGCTTGTGACTAAAGGGGTCTGTGCCCTGAATGACTCGGAACCAAATGCAGGCCAAAAGTAAATGATGGTTTGCCTGGGAGAATGGTTTAAAGCACCTAAACCTGGTGAAGAGTCTAGACCCGGCGATATCCCGAACTTACTGCAACTTGGGTGGCTATACCGATTTACCCCATATTCAAGGGCTCCTAACCTACCACGTAAAAGGCTTTGGGGATTACCGGGAGCCCTACAACCGAAGCAGCAGGGCATGAGCCGCTACAATGTAGGGGCATTGATAATTGGAAGACGGTTTTGGGCTCCTTTACAGTATAGTTATAATAAGGAACGGTTTTGGGCTCCTTTATAGCATAGCTGTAATAAGGAACCCTAAGGAATAATCTTGGTAAGTCTGTGGCCTCCCTGTTCATGTAGGGGCCTGAATAATTAGAATAGGGTTTTGGGGCCCTTTATACTATATCTCCAATCAGGAACCCCAAAATAACATAGGTAATTATGAA